AAATTGGACACTTAACTTATATTGTAGAATAGGGAAGAAGATTTGGGGAGGGGGGGGGAGGGGTCATTGAAATTGGTAAATCACCATCTGCAAATCATATCAAGGAATGGAATCTTATGAAAAAACACAGAAAATCCAGATTTCCGTGTAAGAAGTCGCCAACGTTTTGATTTGGCCCTGAGCTTCAAAACTCTTGAAACTTTTAAAAATGTATTTGTTTGAGATGTTTTTCTTGTTATTTAATCTTTTGCTTCAATCAGCGGTTTAATTTGCGAAATTTTCTGACTTCCTTTAATCTATTTCTCAGCTTTATTTTAAATAATTTCTCATAAAACTCATTGAAACTCTCAATTAATAACTCATAAATTCGATGTACAATTTATCAACCGCAGAAAAGCCTCTTTTTATATTTGAATCAGAAGTTCTTAACCTTTTTTCAACAAAGAACTCAAAATTCAAATAAAATTTTGTAAATCATCAAAACTCCCGCTAAAACTAGTAAGTTAAGATCTTCTTCAGAGTTCCCTAGACTATAGTTTGAGAATCCCTGAATTCTAAAAAACAACATAAAGACTATTTAATGTTAAAAAGCTCGACGTAACTACACAACAGCAATTGTTTGTTCCTTATTAAATTTAAAGAAAAAAGTATCATCATCATTATCTTGATTCTTTTTTGTATCTTGTCGTATCCATAAGATGAAGTTTCCACAACACACAGGGATAATTTCATTGTGGAATGTTATGTTAGAGCTTCATGATGTTATTGTTGAGATGAGAATTTATTCACTTGGTTATTGTTTGGGAGTGAATTAAAGGAATTTAAAGTTTAAAGCATATTTGTTGTGCTTATAGATGTTATTATCCAAAGGAATGGCAGCTGCAGCTTTAAATCATTTGATTCTATTCTGAAGCTAGTTTCTTGACTAGGCAGCCTTTAAGTCCCTCCATTCTCTACCACGCTATTTCTAAATTGAATTTCGCTATAAAACTTTAAAGAACCAGCAAAAATCCATTAATCTCTGCATTCAAATGCAAACAATTCTTCCATAATCTATGCAAAAAAGGCAAATCATCCTCATCTGCTCGTAAATATTGACAAAAAACCGACCTATAAATTCCACCTATTTCAAACAGATGCAATAATGGAAAACTTTCAAGTTTTTCCACTCTCTTTTTATTCAAATCCAATCTACATAAAAAAAAATGGTAGGTAAACAGTTCCATGCAGAGCATTGTGCAGATGATAAATTGGAAATTGCTTTTGAAAGTTTTTTTTTTCTCATCTCAATTTTGTTTTCAATTTACTAACGTCATTTTCAATGAATGTAGAAATGAGATTGTCATATGATGACACAAACATGTGAATTGAAGTCTGTTTCGCGTAAACGCATATGATTTTTTATGCTGATAAAGAGATTCAATCAGGAGATGAAGGAAAAAATGTTAGATTTTATTCTGATTTCCAAATTTCTTTTCTGATTTATTTTAAAATCTTTATCAATCTAGTCCACACAAATAGCACTAGCCGTCACAAAATAATTGCATCTAGTCAGCGTGAAGCTAGTACAGAGCTGTCTTTCATCAAATCTGACTATTTAAAACCCTAACATCGGTTAGATGCTTGGTATCTGGTGGTTTTGGGACGAGTATGAGATCAGATAAGGTATCAAAGTGCTTTAATCGACTTCAATCTAACGTCAGTCCAAGGATAGACCTTAACTTGATTTAATCGAATTCAATCAAGCTTAATTAATCAATCCTATTTCTAGTCACATTGTTAATAGCTTCCCAATTCATTACCAAAAATCCATAAAAAATTCACTGTCACAAAAACATGAAAAAAGTTTTTCAAGCATGAAAAAAATAACAAAAGGATTTTTTCATTCCAATTTATTTTTTTGCGCTATTCGCTTCTAGCTCCACTGATAAAGTTTTCAATAAAACATTATGCAACTTGATTTAATTGCTCAACCACCCACAAATGCATATTGTAAGAAAAAGTTTCATGTGAAATGCTTTTTGGTGGCACAAACTTTTCTGAATTTTTGCATAATTTTTCGTGAAAAAAGGGATTACAAATTATGCCTTAAAGCATAAGCAGAAAAGGTAGGTAGGAACAAGTTTTATTCGGATATTGAAAGGGATCAAAAGTATCACAAACAGAGGAACTTATACGTTTGTTGCTTTTGTGGATGTGCAAAAATTGAGAATTTTTGTTCCTTCTTGTTTTTACAATTCGCTTCATCCAATTAATCTTTTATTTGCCATGAAAACAGGATCAACTTTTTTCTTTTGACCTTTTGAATTAATTCTACCTTGGTGAATTTATGAATATAAATAGAACCGGTAGATGTGAAAAGAAGCTACAATGTGTGAGTTTTGGGTCAGGTCTGTGTTGTGACGGAAAGGAATAGTTTTTAAAGAAATTGCTGACTTTAATTTTCTTAGAAAGATGATTTTCGATGTAAATGCCCTCGAGTGCTTTGTTTTATTGGCTTTATGTCTATTGTCTGCTTTGTTTTGTTCTGTCCATATTGCATATAAAGGCGACAAAGTGTCTGACTAAGTTGTTGACACTGAACAATTTTCTTAGAAATAACTGAAAGCAATTGAAGAAAGCTGTGTTTGCATTTTTGATGATTCTCCGATGTTCAATTGTAAGTTTAGATACCAGAAGCTAGTTTCTATGTCTGCTTGAGTTGCCTTTCCCTAATCAGAGTTAAGTTGATTCATACTTCATGGTGTTGTCCATCAATTTTCAATTTATGGGGAGGAGACTCTGTGAAACCCTGTAAACCGACTCTGATGAGCAAGCCTCAATAGATTCAAAGACTAAGACTAGAAAAATATTAAACGAATCCAGCAAATCTCAGTTTTGAGTACCCAAAGCTACAAAATGACAAATCATATAAAAATTCTCGACTACAACCACAACTACTCAATCCAGAACTCTCAAAACTGACAATATCTATTGTCTTCCTAACCCATTCACATAAAGTAAACCCAATTTAATTCAATCTGTGCTGTCGAGCCTTTTTTTCTCATTCAATAATTCTTTTTTTCTCTTTTTATAGTTTCATCTATTCTTTAACCTTACCAATCTCATATTGAGGAATTTCTGAAAGCTTCATCTTTAAATTCAACAAGTCTCTTTTCCCTTTTTTGCTACTTCTATGCCTATCTCCATCTCCTTTACTCTTTAACTAGGTTTATTTTCTCATTTCTTTGGTATTGCAACGTGTTACATTGAATGAAGAATGAATGGGATGAATTATAAAGTAAATGGGGCTTGTATGACTTTTGATCCTAGACTTCAATCTGTTCTTGCTATGGTTTGACTTTTATCGTGTCGCTGGGAACGAAAATTGTCTCACTTACATCCTTTTAGAAGTTGTTGCTGAAATTGATTTTTTTTATCCATTCAAGTAAAGTGGATCCACGAACTGTGGGATAAGAAGAAACCTTGAAAGAAAATTTGATTCAACTATGAAATTTAATTTCATCAAATTTGCTGCATCTCTGCTTATTGAGGATTTTATAATGTAATTCTTCTTGAAAACAGCAATATTGTCTATGATAAAAGTCAATTTGTATGCTTGGACGAAGATATTGTTTCTGTAGTAACGACATAATTGAATTTAAGATGCACACAATCTGAAAACATTGAGAGTTGCTTCAACATTTTTGCTTAGATGAAGATAATCTTGTTTGGTGCTAAACTCGAGTGTCAGATTGAACTGAATCTATTAGAGACTAAGAATGTGCAGTTTTCGTAAGAATGAATAGTGCAACTTCAAAAATTAACAAATTGACTTGAAAAAAAAAATTGCCCAAAATTTCAGTTTCCAAAGTTAAAAATTTCAATTACGATAGTTAAAAAATTCAATTTCGAAAGTTAAAAATTTTAATTTCGAAAGTGAAAAATTTCAATTTCGAAAATAAAAAAATTTCAATTTCGAAAGTCAAAAATTGTAATTTCAAAAGTTAAAAAATTTCAATTTCGAAAGTCAAAAATTGTAATTTCAAAAGTTAAAAAATTTCAATTTCGAAAGTCAAAAATTGTAATTTCAAAAGTTAAAAAATTCCATTTCGAAAGTTAAAATTTAAACTTCGAAAGTTAAAAAACTTCAATTTCGAAAGTTAAATATTCTAATTTCGAAAGTTAACAATTGAATATCAAAAGTTAAAAAAATTAATTTCAAAAATTAAAAATTGAACTTCAAAAGTCAAAAATTTCACTTTCGAAAGATAAAATTCAACTTTCCTCTTTCAAAAACATAAAGTCAATAAATTTCTCAGCTTAATTTAATAAACACACTATCTGAACCATAAAAAATCGGAAAAAATTCAGCTACACAAAAATATTTGCTGTGTAATCCCATTTTCAGGGTGGAGCAAGATTCTCATAATTTAATAATCAAACCAATGTAGCAAGCTACAAAACAACCATGTGGTACACTGTTATATCCAAAACTTTATTATTTATGTAGAAAATTATGAACGTGAAAATTTTAATCATCAAAATATTTTAATTGCTGCGTCAAAATATTTTCCTCGCATAATTTTCAGTTTTAATTGTTTTGAGAGTTTTCAACTATTTTACTGTAATTTACATAATTATCATAAGCATAACATTAAAATGATTACATCATCTCGAAAGTTATTCAACCTTAATATATTTAGTAACGAAATATGAAAATTCCATCAATGCGATTTAAAGCTTTAAAAATTGTAGAAAATGTGTTTAACCTTCATTGCCGTTTTTTGTTTTGTATAAAATTGTTAAATTTGCTCATAAATTTATTTTTCTTCTTGTTCTTTATGTCATTAAAGTGGCATTTATTTTTTTGTGTCCTTTGTGGATATTTTGTGGGAATTTTAAAATTTGTAACATGAAGATTTTTGGGATTTGATCATGTTTTATGTCATTTTATGGACATATTGAGAGTGTTCTGGGAATAACTGTCATTATTTAAAGATGGTTTAATTTTAAATGATTTAAATGTGTAGCTTTAGATAGTAATCTAGTCCATAGCCATCAAAAACTTTATTAAATTTTAAAATCTTACTCATTTCTTTAACAAAACTAATCATAACCTTTCAAATGCCATCTCAAGATGACTTTAATGAATATTTTTATCAATTCAAAATTATTGAACCTCCTACGTATCCTCCCTTTACATCATCATACTGAACCTAAGTTCCTTAAAAGTCAATCGTCCTATAAATATTCCAAAACCCCCTTAATATCCTCAAAATTCCACAAAGCATCTCCACAAGGACACAAAAAAATCCTCAAAAAAATGTTATAAATAATTTTCTCCACCTTTGTAACTGCCTGCATCCAGGCTTAATCGTCAATTTCGTGCTAGCTTTAACAAACACAAAAGAGTAAGTGAGAGAGAAGAAAAGCTGGAAAAGGAAGAATTTCGAAATCATAAATCCTCTTTAATTTCACCTGTGTCTGCATATTTACAAAGGAACATTTTTTAAGGAACAGGGACGTATTTCAAGAGGGTATTTTAAATTTTCTAGGGCTTTTGATCTCAAAACCAAGTTAAACATTCTTTTCAAAAAAATTAACCCCCCCCCCCCCCTTCTCTAGAATTTTCTTAATACGCCTCTGGAAAGGAAGTATCTCTAAAATTTTGTATATTCCTTCTGTAAGCCTTATACACGATTACGTACATCAAAACGAGCAAAAATTGTGTAAATGTATTTCTCTCATCGAGAATCTCGGAGGTTGAACGACAGAGACAGAATAAAAGAAGGGAAAAAAAGATGAAAATTTAATCCACAATGTTGATTTTTATAAGGAACAAAAAAAAAAGAAAAGAGAAAGAATTGAAAAAAATTTACGCCCGAAGCGACCGAGCTAACATTACGATTACGAATATGTGTGTATCAATGTGTTCTTTGTGAATTGTTGAGGAGTCACCTTACCTACCCAACATTCATTCGTGCGTTATTTCTTTATTTGAAGTAATTTCTTATGCTGGAAGAGTACACGTGAGTGACGATATTATTTATGCACCCTGAAGTAAATTTTCCTGTTTGATTGACTGTGGATTGTTTTTCGTTGCCTGTTGTAATGTTGGTATGGCACTATTTGCATGCAATACATGCTCCAAAGTGGGTGGTATGATCAAAGGTGACGCTAGAAGCTGTAGACTACTGTAAATGTCAAAAGAATAAAGGATTATGTTAAGATTGTTGTGTCAATTTGTAAGATTTATTGGATATACGATACAAAATAAGAGACAAAAATAAAGACATAAAGGATTGTAGTCAATCCTCTCAACATAATTTCATTCCAAAACAATATTTTTTATTCAATGACAAATAAAGTTGTTTTTTTACACAAAACCAAAAGAAATAATTTCGATTCTCAAGACAATAAGCAAGTCAGTAACATTCTCATAACTCACTCGGTAATTGATGGACCGTTTGGATGGAAGCCGTGCAATGCATTTGCGGCTTTTGCGCGGGCTAAAAGTGTCATTACTGTTCGTTTTGTTGGATTTGTTATGTTGTTGATTGTGCTGCACAATAGCGGTCTCTTTCGTCCTATTGAGCCGGCTGTTGGGGATGAGAAATTGAAAATTTAGAATTTTTGTGTTAAATGGATGATTGATGAGATCGTTTGTAGGTTTTGAGATGAGTTTGTGGTAGTTTTAATGTTGAAGCGCGTTGATTCAACTAAAATCAATGATTTGGTGCATTCTGGCCAAGGCCTTAGATTAATTAAACCCCAAGGCTTTATTAAAACCCCCACAAATCCCACCTAAATAATCAATCCTAGATATAAAATGTCATCAACACGCTAGACCTTTTAGATGTCATTTGTTAAGAATATATTGATATTCTGTCAATCTGATATGAAAATATATAATTTATTTGACATGGGTATAAGCTGATAAAGGTATTGGCATAAAAAAATAAATTTCAACGTAATTATACCAAAACTGATTACTATTTTGATGAAAGATTTATTTTTTGATGTCTTTTATTTTTAACAAAATTAAAATCTGCAAAAATTTTGGTTCTGAAGGTATTTAATTGAAAAATCAATTTCATTTAATATTGTGGCTTAGTGTCGTTTGTGTATGACCCCCCCCCCCCCCTCTTTTTCTGATGGTTTCTAAAGCGAATGACCAAGAAAATTGAATTACAAAACTGCCCAAAAAACCAAAATTTAATATTAATCACCAACTTTAATGACTTCCAAACCACAACCTTTAAGATTAAAGCCTCATTAAACCCACAAACGTGCCATCAACCATTAACACAGCCTAAAGTAAGTAAACAAAAACAATACATTACCGATATTGACGCCTCTCAAAAGAGCATTTTGCTGATCGATTAATGCTACAGCAGCTGGAACGGCTTCTACGTCATTTGCTAATTCCAGAGGTGTTGCTTTTGCTGCTGTTAATGGTTGATTATTATTTTTTATCGTATCACAGTTATTATTGTTAATTGCTATTGTGTTGTTATTGTTATGTTGTTGCGGTTGTTGAAGATGCTGTTGCTGTTGCTGTTGTTGCTGTTGGTGACATCCGTTAGATATAATTGAAGATGCGGAACTACAATTGTCCATGCTGTAACAATGTTGATCTGTTAACATCCCTGTTTCACTGACTGCTGTTGATGACGCCCCTGACGATTGTTCCATAATAATGCTATTATTATGCTCATGTGTGTCATCTGTGCTGCTATTACTGTTGCTACTGCTCGCACTACTTAAACTGTTGTTTTGTGTTGTTGTACTAAGTGCCTGCATTTCCCATTTCTGCTCTTGTCTGATGTCATCATGATGATCCTGTAAATTAAATTTAAATTCACGCATTAAGTTAGGCATACAATGATAATTTGTGTGCTGAAAAATTTTCATACGGGTTGCAAACAGGAAGGCACATTGAGTGCGAGAAAAAAATTATTTTCCCGTGTTCCGTTCGTGCATAAAACATCTCATTTTCCGCCTATGAGCCTGTATAAATATTAAATTCATTCATATCCACTCATTCAAGCATATTCATTATGATTCATCACATATTAAATAGCATTTTATATCTCCATTTATGCTGGCGCGAATTATAAACATTCGGATACTTTATACAGGCACACATATATCATCTGATCATTTAACATTTATCCCACATATTTTTGTATATTAATGAATTATGAATAAACTTTTTTTGTGAATAAAATTTCTATTTTTCACCTCATTCAGTCCTTCGTACTTCCACGTCTTTTGTTTGAATACCGGCGAACGTGGAAATGTGAATTATGAATTATTTTTTAAATAAAAACTTTCTCGTAGTCCCTTTTTATGTGTCTGCATACATATTTGTTTTGACTTTTTAACAGTAAAATTTCAAACGGAAAAAAATTGTTTGTTACATTTGAGGATGTAGAAAGAGTGGTTATGGAAGTAAAAATGGATGATGGGAGATGGCAGAAGTTTTTCATCTAAGCAGGAGTTTGAACCCAAAATCTTTCCTTTGTAAAATCAACAGTTGAGCATTTCAAGCGAGCAATAATTTTTGAATCACTCAATTTTAATAACAGAGGTTCAATTCCCAATCCTTGTTTAGCAAAAACTGAACTTTCCTTGATTATTGTCAATATTATTTAAGGACACTTGTAAAACCAGTGAAGCTGAAGCTAAAACTATGATTAGGCTAGAAAATCATTAAAATTATCTCAATTGACATCAGTTTCTAAAGCTAATTCTACATAATACATCCAATTTAGATAAGGCGCCAGCTGCTTAGAGCAAATTCAATGACAAATCTCTATATTTTTTCAGCCAATTTATGGTGCTCAACTAAATTCCATGTTGTTCAGATAGCAAATTTATGAATATAAATCCAGCAACTTTGTCGTGTGTTTTGGATGTGCAAATAAATTTATTTTGTGGTTTCTATGGAAAATTAATTGAGCACGTTGAGTTTGTTTGAAATTATGCAAGAATTGAAGCTTGAAAAATAATGAACATTTTAATTTTAATAGCTTCATCTGAAAATGTAGCCACAACAGTTCAAGCTCTTATATCACACAATAATCATCAAAATCATCGCATTCTTAATCTTCATCTATGAATCTACAATAAAGATAAAGCAATTCATGTCCAAGACATTCCGAAAAACGTAATTTTCTATTGCAGCAAGTCTGAATTCTAATTTTCATAATTTAATTTCAATCTTTTCCATTATCCATTCCTGCATGCTCCACCATAGTCATAGAAGTGCTTATAAAAACATTAAATTTGTGTCCAAAATTCGGATTGTAGTTGCAGATTTCTGTCTTGAACTTATTCCATTATTTTTATTCATGTGACATGTTCCATTCCATTCGTGCTTATTTACATTCAAAAATTTTCATTATAGCATACAGAACCGTCATAACCCAGACATTTTGTAGAAGAACATTACTGCTTCCATCCATTTTTATTAGAATCATAGAGGATAAAGATGAAAATGCCTGCAGGAGTCATAAAACTATTTCACAATTTTCATAAGAAAAAAAAAGGCAAAAGTTGAATAAATGGATGAAGATTTCGGGTGTGTGCCGCCATAGCATTTCAATTTTGAGTATATACATCCATTTATACACATTTTTTATTATGATGTAGTAAAGGAAAAAGAGGAACACAGCAACATATATTCAACTAACAATGGCACTTAGTAAGGCATCTATAAAAAATATGTTTGGATATGCAATGTAGTAATGGAGATGAAAGAAAACCATATAAAGATTCTAAATCATTTTGTAGAACATTGAAAAACTTTACACCGCATTTAGATGGGATTCTTGACGGCTTTTTGCGATTATATGAAGTCATTGAGGTTGTTTTGTCAGGATTTAGTGATGAAATTAAGGTTTAGTGACCAAAGGGGTCTGAAACTATCTTTATACATTTTAATTTAATGGTGAAAAAGTCCATGTATCCAAATTCTTAGTAAGGAGCATGATCATAACCAAATGAGGCATGTTAGAAAAACTAGTAGGATATCAAAGTCATCCCTAAGGATATACACATGAAATAGTAAGCTATAGACTAGTATAAATAAACATTTCCAACCTTCCATTCCCAAAATTCCCTGTAGCTACACTTTGGTAACTTCTTTCAACCATTTACACAAAAATAAAACACATTTAAGCTCTCATTCTACTAAAACTTCCTCAAGGGAACTAAAAAGAGCAAAGCATCTAAGTGAAAGAGAAGGAATAAAAAAATATATAACGACCGAGAAGAAGAAGAAGAAGATAATTTAATTTTCTGGGTGAATGATGCTCATCAGCAATATTTCTAGCATAAAAACTCTTTTTCCCTATCCTTAAATAGTTTTCATTCTGCCATCATGCACCGACCATAAGTCTGAATGCGATAGTTTTATGGACACTTGTATGCTGTATAGCTACAGCAATAATATATGTTATGTGTTATGGATGATCCTTTTTTCCGTTAAAAAGGGATATCTGCTATAGATTTGTCTTACCAGCCCCAAGCAATCCTCTATGGCATCCACAAATTTTTGGTTTAAATGTACACAAAAATATCATTTATATTTGCAGGTAGAGGAAATGCTGTGTGCTTGAAAAGATACTTTAGCCGATTTTAATGGTCATGATATACTTTTTCAGATTCTTCTTTCATTCTATGTCCTGTTCCGACCATCAGCTTATGTTTCACTCCTTTTATTTGGTCGAGAAAAATGTGGGCGATGAGATAAAGGAATGGAAAAAAAATCTCGACATTATCAAAATCTTAATTCTTATCCTACAGCATTCACATAAAAATATATAGCCACGATATAACATAAAAGGATATATCAAATAGCAACAATAATTGACTAGGGGGTTATGGCATTTTGAATCAGTTATTGGATTGAACTTTATTGTAGATTTTGGCAATGAAATAAGAAGTGGAAGGTAGGCATAGGTACAAAAAAAAGGTTTAATGTCTTCTTATTTATTCCAACAAACATTTTATTTGGATATAAATGTAATGAAGCTGTATTTGAATTGAAAATGAAATTGAAAAAAATAATGATTATGTTTTTGAGAATGGGAGTGGGATTTGTGTTATTTGGGAATGCAGCTTCTGCTCAGAATTATGTAGTAAGATCAACTTTTAGCTTTACTCTCAGTGAATAAATAAGATTGTCTAAAGGACTGTTATTGAATATATCCCTAGTTGGGTAAGGTCTCTCATTATGAAAGCTGTCTAAGCACATGGCTTTTAGATCCTCTGCCCAACTCTGATTCAGGTATAATTAGCCTCCATTTATGACAATTCATAAGAACTTCAGCTCCCAAAAGGTAGAAAATAGCAATAATAATCAATTTCACACAAAATTTACATCATGCCAACCCCCTTCATGCAAATACTCTTACACAAACTGATTGTAAACCATTTTTTAAATTCAATGCGGCATTATTATCTCTAAAAAATAATGTGATTGTTATACAAAATTTTCCCACATGCCTGCCTTTTGGGGTACAATTCACATCTATGCGATATTTTTTATATTTGACATTTTGAACTTTTTTTCCACTCAGATAAGGATGGAGGCAACAAAAAAATTTCCATTTATTTTTTATCGGCAGTTATTTTATTGTGTAATAAGGATTGTGTTTTATGAGAGTCACTTTAATGAAATCAGATTAGAAAATTGCGTATCAATTATTTTTGATTTGAGGTCATTTTATAGATTTTTATGGGATCTTATAAATTATTTTTTGCCTTTAATGGTGAGACTTTCAGTTGGAAAGACTCAGTCAAGTATCTCGGTGTTGTCCTCGACAGAAAGCTGAGTTTTAAGCATCACATCGAGTACTCTATCAGCAAAGCCAGTGCTGCCAGTTTCTCCAGTCTTTACTGCTTACTGAGTAGAAATTCTCATGTTTCTATTGATTCCAAATGGAGAGTTTACAAGTCATACATCAGACCAATCATAACATATGCTTGTCCTATTTTCGCAAATGCAGCAGCCTGTCACCTGAAGAAGCTACAACTATTCCAAAACAAAATTCTCCGAATGATATCTGACATTCGTTGGTACGATTTCAAGCCACTCAGTGAGATCCATGATTCAGCAAAAATTCCATTAATTTCAAGCTTTATCTCGCGTTTAACTGCTAATTTTTATTCCAAAATAGTTCACCATCCAAATGACCTCTTCTCATCACTTGGTCAGTACGACTATGATTCACTTGGTTTTCGAGCAAAACATAAACTACCGAAACCCATACATTAAGTCTGTTCTGCCATCCTTAGTTATATAAGAAAAAAATTTTTTTTTTCTTTTTTTGTTTTTTTTGTTTTTTCTCACTTGGTCTTTTTTTTTTGTAATTTTTTGACCACACGATCAAGTCATCTTTCCATCTAACTTCATGCTATTAATTTTATTCCCTTCATTGTAACTGTGATTTAAAACCGAAAAGGTTAACATCATATCAAACTTATTTTTGTTCCGCCTTACCATTATGTAATTAAATAAAGGATTATATATTATTATTATAAATTATTTAATGATCAAGTGAGATTTAATTGATTAGAGCTAAGTTGCACAGGAAGTATGCAAGGCAAGGAATAAGTTGACTGTCAAATTCCTTCGTTTCTTATGATGAATGCTGAGAATCAGTTTAAAAGGATTCTTATAATTCATCTGAATGTAGTTTACTCTTAAAAGGGAAGCTTCAACTTTAATGCTTGCCATTTACATCAAATACTGCCAATAAGACCATCATGTACTCCTTCAAACACATCTCATACCAAAAAATCAATTTCCATCCTATAAATTAAATCCCAAA